ATAACTGTAATAAAGTTTCACTAATGGGCGGACCACCACACATTCAATAAGACAAAAGAGTTAATTTGAAGATCAATCAATTAAGATTATCCAGCCTGAGAAAATGAAAAAAAAGAGGGAGGAGAACTCAAGAGACATGTGGAATACCACTGAGTGTCCCACCACAAACATAATGGGAATACAAAGAGAGAAGAACAAGGTGCAGAAAGGTTTGTAGAAATAATAACTGAAAACTCCCTAAATTTTATAAAAAAACATTAATCTAGACATCCAAGAAATTCAGTAAATTCTAAGTAGAATAAACTCAAAGAGATTCATACCTAGACCGACATAATCAAGCTGATGAAAGAAAAAAAGACAAGGAGAGCGTCTTACCAGCAGCAAGATAGAAGCAACACATCACATACAATACTCAATAAATTAACAGCTGATGTCTCATCAGAAACTATGGAAGACAGAAAGCAGTGGGGGAGCATATTCAAAATGTTCAAAGAAAAGGAATGCCAACCAGGAATACTTTATCTGGCAAAACTATCCCCAAAGACACAGAAGGAATTAGGATATTCCCTAGATTACAAAAAGTTAATTCATTGCCAGCAGTCCTGCTAAAACAAATATTCAAGAATCCTGGTGTAAATGAAAAGACACTGCATACTAACTTGAATCCATATAAAAAAAATACTGGTAAAGAAAGACACACAGGTAAATACGAAGGACAGTGTAAATCTCCTAGTTAAAGAATAACTGGGTTGGGTGCAGTGGCTCATGCCTGTAATCCCAACATTTTGAGAAGCTAAAATGAGATCAATTAAGGCTAGAGGTTCGAGACAAGACTGGGAAACATACTGTGGCCTCAACTTTACAAAAAATAAAAAAATGTATCAGGTGTGGTGGCACACGCTTGTGGTTCCAGTAACCTGGGAGGACTGCTTTAAGCCTGGAGGGTTGAAGCTACAGTGAGCCGTAATCCTGACAGTGAACTCCGACCTGGACAACAAAGTGAGACCCCATCTAAAAAAAACGACTGCATGAAGCGTGAATTAGAAATCTCTAGGCCAGGCGCGGTGGCTCATGCCTGTGATTCCAGCACTTTGGGAGGCTGAGGCAGGTGGATCACAAGGTCAAGAGATCGCGACCATCCTGGCTAACATGGTGAAACGCCATCTCTACTAAAAGAATACAAAATTTAGCTGGGCATGGTGGCAGAGGCTTCAGTGAGCCAAGATTGAGCCACTGCACTCCAGCCTGGCACCTGGCAACAGAGCAAGACCCTGTCTCAAAAAAAAAAAATCTCTTGGTGATCACATAAGGTATAAAGGTTTAATTTGCATGACAATAATGGCAAAAGTCAGGCGGGGGGAAACAAAGCCATGCTAAAGAAAATTTTGGGATCGTGCTGAAATTCAGTTGATATTAATAAGTAAAGACTGGAATGAGTTAAAATGTTAAGTTTTAATATCTAAGGTAGCCACTAAGAAACAAATAAAAAGTCAAAGAAACAAAGAACTTAAGATGGTACACTACAAAGTATCTAATTAATAGTAACAGAGGCAGTAATGGAAGAACAGAGGAACAACAGTGACTAGATATAAAGATTAACAGCAGAAGAGCCCTACAGTATCAATAAATACATTAAATGCAAGATAGGTAGAATGTAGTAAACACACACAGAAATTTACAAACACACTCCAACCATACCTTCTCTAAAAGAGACTTCCTTCAGATTAAGATACATATAGCTAGGGGGGAAAAAAGATATACAAAGCAAACAAGAGAACTATAAGGGTTATACTAGTATTAAACAAAACGAACATTTAAGAAAAAATTGTTAACAGACAAAGACATTTTATAATAACAGTCAATCCATCAGAAACATGTAACAATTAAGACCAGTCATGGTGGCTCACGCCTATAATCCCATTACTTTGAGGCCAAGGCGGGTAGATCACCTGAGGTCAGGAGTGCAAGATCAGCAAGGGAAACATGGTGAAACCTCGTCTCTACTGAAAGTACAAAAAAATTAGCTGGGCATTAGGGTGCACACTAGTAGTCCTAGCTACTCCAGAGGCTGAGGCAGGAGAATCACCAAACCTGAGAGATGGAGTTTGCAGTGAGTCAAAAACCACATTCCAGCCTAGGCACCAGAGTGAGACACAAGACTGAACCTCAAAAAAAAATTAACAATTTTAAAAATACATGTACTCAGGCCAGGAATGGTGGCTCACGCCTATAATCCCAGCACTCTGGGAGGCCAAGGCGGGTGGATCACGAGGTCAAGAGATAGAGACCATCCTGGTCAACGAGGTGAAACCCCGTCTCTACTAAAAATACAAAACTTAGCTGGGCATGGTGGTGTGCACCTGTAGTCCCAACTACTTGGGAGGCTGAGGCAGGATAATTGCTTGAACCCTGAAGGCGGAGGTTGCGGTGAGCCAAGATCGTGCCATTGCACTCCAGCCTGGGTAACAAGAGCAAAACTCTGTCTCAAAAAAAAAAAAATTCATGTACTTAAAAACAAAGCCCCAAAACACATGAAGGAAAAACTGAAAAAAACTGAAGGGAGAAAAAGACAGTTAAAAAATAATTGGAGACCAGGCACAGTAGCTAACACCTTTAATCCCAGCACTTTGGGAGGCTGAGGCAAGTGGATCACTTGAGGTCTGGAATACCAGACTAGCCAGGCCAACATGGTGAAATTCCATCTCTAATAAAAATTTTAATATTGGCTGGGTGTGGTGGCAGGCATCTGTAATCCCAGCTACTCAGGGGGCCGAGGCAGAAGAATCACTTGAACCCAAGAGGCAGAGGTTGCAGTGAGCCAAGATCACACCACTGGACTACAGCCTGGGTGACTAATTTAAAAAACAAAATCAAATACTTCTATACTCCACTTTCAATAACAATTCAACAAAGATAGGCCAAGTACAGTAGCTCATGCCTGTAATCAACCCCAGCAGTTTGGGATGCCAAGTGGTAGGATGGCTTGAGCACAGGAGTTTGACACTATCCTGGGTAAAACAGTAAAATCCTGTCTCTACAAAAAAAAACATAAAATTAGCTGGGCATGGTGACGGGTACCTGCAATGCAAGCTACTCCAGAGTTTGAAGTGGGGAGGTAGAGACTGCAGTGAGCCATGATCATGCCACTATACTCTAGCCTGGGTAACATACACACACACAAAAATTAAGGCCAGTCGTGGTGGCTCATGCCTGCAACCCCAGCACTTTGGGAGGCCAAATTGGACAGATCACTTGAGGTGAGAAGTTCCAGACCAGCCTGGCCAACATGGTGAAACACCATCTCTAATAAAAATACAAAAATCGGCCGGGCGCAGTGGCTCACACCTGTAATCCCAGCACTTCAGCAGGCCGAGGCGGGCAGATCATGAGGTCAAGAGATCGAGACCATCCTGGCCAACATGGTGAAACCTGTCTCCAAAAAAAAAAAAAATCCGCTGGGGGTGGTGGGGTGACCCTATAGTCCAAGATACTTGGGAGGCTGAGGCAGGATGGCTTGAGCACAGGAGTCTGACACCTCGCTTGAGCATGTGAGGCAGAGGTTTTAGTGAGCCAAGATCGCGCCACTGCACTACAGCTTGGGCAACAGAGTGAGAGTCTGCCTCAAAAACAAACAAACAAAAAAGAAAATTAAGTTAAATAAATAAAATACCTAATAAATTTAACAAAATCAGTGAGAGATGTACACTGAAAATGAAAAAATATCATTGAAAAAAATTAAACAGGCCAGACATGGTGGCTCATGCCTGTAATCCCAGTACTTTGGGAGGCCCAGGTGGGCGGATCACAAGGTCAGAAGTTCAAGACCAGCCTGGCCAACGTGATGAAACCCCGTCTCTAGTAAAAATATGAAAATTAGCCAGGCATGTGGCAGGCACCTGTAATCCCAGTTATTCTGGAGGATGAGGCAACAGAATTGCTTGAACCCAGAAGGTGGAGGTTGCAGTGAACCAAGATCCCATCACTGCACTCCAGCCTGGGTGACACAAGTGAAACTCCATCTCAAAAAAAAAAGAAAAGAAAGAAAACTATTAAAAGCCTAAATAAGTAGAAAACTTACCAGATTCATGGATTAAAAAGACAATGTTATTAATGTGGCAGTACTCCCCACAATGAGCTAAAATATTCCACATAATCCTCTCAACGTTCCCAGTAGGCTTTTTTTTACTTTTTTTTTTTTTTTTTTTTTTTTTTTGGCAAAAACTGACTAGCTGGTCTTAGAATTTTTAGGAAAATTCAAGGAGCCCAGAAGAGCTATAACAATTTTAAAAAAGAACAAAGCTGGGAAATTCATAATTCCCAATTTCAAAACTTACTGATAACCTATTGTGATCAAGACAGTGTGGAACTGGCCACAGATCAACAGAATTAAGAAACCAAAAATAGCCCAGGTGTGGTGACTCACACCTGTAATTCCAGCACTTTGGGAGGCTGATGCAGGAGGATCACTTGAGCCCAGGAGTTTGAGATCAGCTTGGGCTACATACTGAGACCTCATCTCTACAAAAATAATATTATTTAACCAGCTGAGAGTGATGGCACGTGCCTGTGGTCCCAGGTACCTGAGAGACTGACGTGGAGGATCGCTTAAGACAAGAATTCGAGGTTGTAGTATCTATGATTGCACCACTGTACTCCAAACTAGTAGGCACCAAGACCTTGCCACTTAAAAGAGACCATAAACAAACCCATGAACTAAGGGCAATTGCTTTTTCTGAGATAATTCAAAAGGGAAGGTATTGGTCTCAACAAATGCTGCTGGAACAACTGCATGTTCACATGCAAAAGATGAACTTTGGCCTCTATCTCACACTGAATTTAATATGTATCATAAGTAGGATAGGACTTAGGACTTAAAAACCATTGGATTGTCTTAAACTGCTGTCACTTTCATTGAACTCCCTCTTTCCCCAAATGTACAACTTGATACAGCAACATGATCCAATTTAAAGAAGAGTCATATTCAAGTATGCACTTCTTACCCTGCACAAGCTTGCAAACAGGCCAACATTGTCGCCAGAGTTTCTGGAGGAAGTTGAGCACTTTTGGGCTGGTCTTTTTCTGGGGCAAGTCCACCCAAAATAGAAGGACATCGTCTCTTTAAAAAAGTCATACATGCCTGGATAAAAGGCTCCTGAAGAACAGAAAAGTCTCTCAGTGATTTTAAATTGACCTTAAATGTTATCAAGTTAAAGATAACTACTAAGCACTATGACTAAAATCCAAAATAAATAATATCTTCATTGCCATTTTAAAAAGTTGTTCCTTTTAAATTTCTTTCTAATTTCAGTTTAATACTGCTACACAAATTTTAAAAGTTGTTAATTTAGCCATTTTAGCCACCAAAATTTAAGAGTAAAAATAAATGAACAAATCCTGCTTACCCCATGCTCTCGAATTTTATCTGTGAGCCACTTATCAAGTTTGAGGTATTCACGCCGTGAAGCAAGTGCAGCAAGGTCAATAACAAAGGCAAATGGAGTACCATTTAGCAGCATTGACAAGGCCTAAAGGACAAAACCATATTAGAAAATGGAAGTGCAGCAATTAAGTAACTATCTCTGTCCCATATTCTGCTTCTTGCTTTCCACAAACAAGTTCAAATAAAACACACTGCTAATATTTCCTTGGTCACAATTTAAACAGCTTAGTACAATTCAGGGTAACATTAGTCATTATTCTCTAAAATAAGATTACTTTTTAAAGGTGAATACATGATACTACCTTCCAAACAAACTTTACCGCGCTTTTAAAAATAACTATACCTAGAGCAGAACAAGACACAAAGCATAAATAATTATCCCTACCCATTTTTCAAAATCTACACATTGGCTTAAGCACAACTACATCACCAATCACCTAGCGATTAATAATACAGAGTCTAGGCCATGCATGTGGCTCATGCCTATAAACCCAGCACTTTGGGAGGCTGAGGTGGGCAGATCACCTGAGGGCAAGAGTTTAAGACAAGTCTGGCCAACATGGTAAAACTCTGTCTCTACTAAAAATACAAAAACTAGCCAGGGAGGGTGGCAGGTGCCTCTAGTCCCCGCTACTTGGGAGACTGAGGCAGGAGAATCCCTTGAACCTGGGAGGCAGAGGTTGCAGTGAGCCAAGATGGTGTCACCGTACTCCAGCCTGGCTGGCACAGTAAGATTCCGTCTCCAAAAGGAAAAAAAAAATAAATATATAGAGTTGTTTGTCAATTATATATGTCAGAAGATCCTGTTAATTCTTAGAGTTGCTAATGGGAAGAAACATGCCTAGTTTCCCCAAAAATTCTGTCTGACAGATAACTTATGGGAAAAGCTAACTTTACACTATAAAACAGCTTTACAATACATGGAAGACCAATCAAAAATAAATGAAAACATGTTTAACTACCTAAAGCAACTCTCCTTCCTATCCTTTTCAAGAAATCTCTAAATTTCAACTCATTCTAAGAGCTAGTTACATGTGAATTATTCCTAGAGCATCTTTGTTACTTAAGCGTTTATCTTTTTTCTCATTAGTAAATAACCCAGTGTCATTCTGTCCCTCTGAACTCACCTTCAAATCCTGGGCCACATCAAGTATTCGAGACAATTTGGCCTGATCATACTGCTCCCCTCTCATGTACCATTCTGCCATTGCATGCATGATGAGTTGGCGAATTGAGGGAGACTGTCCCTGAGAAGGGGAAGAAAGATCAAATAGCAATACTGCTAAACAATGTGATAAATACTATTACAAATGCCCAGCTAATTTTACTAGAACGTGTATAAAAATCAGGTATACCTGTGCTGACGTTAAGTTCTGGTCTCAAACTACGCAATTACCATGATGTTCCTTATGGGAAAACCAAGTTACTTCTACATCTTCCAAATAAAGCCCGATGCTAGACTTGGGTCATACAGTCAGTCATTCAACAAACTTACATGTCCTACTTAAAGTCTGCCTAACATTTTCAAAAACCAAATGTGAACAAGATTATGTGAATATAAGATTACATCAAATTTATATAATTACTTTAAATACAATTACTGGTATAGAAATAAAAACAAAATAGTTTAAGGTAACCATTTCTTGTGTTGCACAGTATAACGCTGGCCGTATCACTACTTCTGGGAGTGGCGCCTGTACATACATTCTAAATCTTTTTATTTCCACAAACAAGAACGTTTGCTTTTATAATTCCATTCCCCCCTCCCCTCCCAAGTAGCCTGGTTTTAAGAAACAACCATGAATGATGCAAACAGCTGGAACTCAGTATTTCTCACAGAAACAACAGCAAGATCATTACTATTACTATATTCAAGTAATACTCCAGTAATTGTACTAGAGTAGCAGATGGTCTGCTAGAACAAGTATTCAATCACAAGTGAGGAGATGCAGCTTGATTACTAGCCATTTCTACCTCACAGCTATGGTGAGAAAGGAATAAAAACCATCTGGACTGCAAATGCTTGGTTAAATGTTTATCATACATTTTGTAAACTGTAAATCTACAATGTTAATTGAGTTTCTAGGAAAGGAGGAGAAATTAACTGAATGACCTAGAACTAAGGCTAACATTTTTCACTCATAATAAAGAGCCTTATTTCCTTAATTTGTAAAAAGCACTTGTATATATAATATAAGCTATTTCAAGAATGGGTAAAGGAAAAAGTAGCTAAAAAGGGCACTTGAGGTAAAGGGGAAGATAATTTTTTTCTGTATTTATCATATAGTGTAGGATATTAGCACGGGCAACATGGCAAGACTGTCTCTACAAAAAAATTTTAAAAATTAACGAGGTATGGTGGCATGTGCCTGTGGTCCCATCTACTCAGGAGGCTGAGACAGGATGATTGACTGAGCCTGGAAGGTTGAGGCTGCAGTGAGAAATGTTCAGAACCACTGCACTCCAGCCTAGGTAACAGGGCAAGCTCCTCTCTCAAAAAAAAAGAAAAAAGGAAGGAAAAAAAACAATCAGTGGACAAAAGAATACTTACTTGCCAAATACATTCTACAAAATTAGAGGTGAAAAGCACAGGGGCTTGAAAGACATTTCAGCACAAACTGAAATAAAATGTAAATGTTGGATTTAGATAAATTAGAAAAGAATGCTACAATTGATCTGCAATCTTCTCATTTCCTATGAAAATATGACATCAATACCTTCTGCCTTCATGATAGATGTTTAAGCTCCTTAGTATAAAAAGGAAAGTCATGCCCTACCAATATAGACATTTCTTAATACTGAAACTATTAAACACTGGTGGGGCATGGGGGCTCACGCCTATAATCCCAACACTTTGGGAGGCGAAGGTGGGTGGATTATTTGAGGTCAGGAGTTCAAGAACATTCTGGCCAACATGGTGAAATCCAGCTTCTACTAAAAATACAAAAATTAGCCCGGTGTGGTAGTAGTGTACACCTGTAATCCCAGCTCCTTGGAAGGCTGAGGCAGAACAGCTTGAACCCCAGAGATGGACGTTGCAGTGAGCCAAGGTCGCACCATTGCAGTCCAGCCTGGGCAACAGAGCAAGACTCCATCAAAAGAAAAGAAGGGAAGGAAGGAAAGAAAAGAAAGAAGGCTAGTCGCAGTGGCTCATGCTTATAATCCCAGCACTTTAGGAGGCCAAGACAGGTCGATCGTGAGGTCAGGAGTTCGAGACCAGCCTGGCCAACATGGTGAAGGCCCATTTCTACTAAAAAAAATACAAAACTTAACCAGGCACAATAGCTCAAGGCTGTAGTCCCAGCTATTTGGGAGGCTGAGGAAGGAGAATCACTTGAACCAGGGAGGCGGAGGCTGTAGTGAGCAGAGATTGTGCCACTGCACTCCAGCCTGAGCAACAGAGTGAGACCCAGTCTCAAAAAGAAAAAGAAAGTATTAAAGATTTTGCCTCCTTGCTTTGTGATCTTGTATTTTTAATGCTCAAATTATTCTAAAAGATAAAACAAGTTTTATGACAGTATGACTTCTGGTCATAATTCAAAGATGGAAAATAAATTTCTCTGATCAAGCTTTCTCAACATTCCAAAAAATTTATATTATTCAGACGAAAAAATGGTAAGCACACAGTCACATCTTACCTGCCCATGCCATGCATAGTGCAAAATAATAGCTGAGTTAGGGTGGTTTCCAAGGAAAATTGGCATCAGAGTGGAGATGAGTTCATGGCGCAAGGTATGCCAAGAGGTGTTAATTTGTAGTAAGGCCAATACCAGCATGTCTGGACAGTGTTTGATAGGGAAGCTGAAGAGTTGTTTGACTTGCTCATACTGCCCAACCTCTGCAAGCCTCAGCAGAGATTCAATCAAATCCAAGCTCTTCCTAACAAGAATGGAAGAAAGATGCTTTATCAATGAAAATACAAGTATACATAGTAATTTTCAAAATAAGTGATGCTAGCTTGTAAGGACAAAACCAAGTTGGTGTCATGTTTTATTCGAAGTTTGAAGTCCAGGGCACTCTCTTAAGAATTAATTTTTGGCAAGAGGTTGAATCTGGCTCACTTTAACTGAGTCTGAAGATCTAACACTATCCTCAGTCCATGAAAAACACGGGGATAGAGAATGAAGTCAACACCATGAGAAAACAGGTAAGAAAATAACATGTGAGGCCGGGTGCGGTGGCTCACACCTGTAATCCCAGCACTTTGGGAGGCCGAGGCGGGTAGATTACAAAGTCAAGAGATTAAGACCATCCTGGTCAACATGGTGAAACTCTGTCTCTACTAAAAATACAAAAATTAGCTGGGCATGGTGGTGCGCGCCTGTAGTCCCAGCTACACGGGAGGCTGAGGCAGGAGAATTGCTTGAACCCAGAAGGCGGAGGTTGCAGTGAGCAGAGATTGTGCCATTGCACTCCAGTCTGGGTAACAACAGCAAAACTGTCTCCAAAAAAAAAAAAGGAAGAAAGAAAATAACATGTGGTAGACTAGAGAACAAATGCTGTATTTCTCCATCAAACCAATAGCAAAAATTAAATTTAAAAGCCAGAATGAAGAGAGATAAAAGAAACCATAGACTGTGTCTGGATTCTGAATCACAGAAATTCTTAAAAGACATTTTTGAGAGGTTGGGTGCAGTGGCTCATGCCTGTAATCCCAGTATTCTGGGAAGCCGAGGTGGGTGGATCATCTGTGGTCAGGAGTTCAAGACCAGCCTGACCAACATGGTGAAACCCTATCTCCACTAAAAACGCAAAAATTAGCTGGGCGTGGTGTTGAGCACCTGTAATCCCAGCTACTCAGGAGGCTGAGGCAGGAGTATTGCTTCAACTCAGGAGGCGTAAGTTGCAGTGAGCCGAGATCATACCATTGCACTCCAGCCTGGCAACAGAGCAAGATGCCGTCTCAGAAAAAAATAAATAAATAGGACATTTTCCAGCCAATTAGGGAAACTTAAATATAAACAATTAGCTATATTAAAGAATTGTTATTTGCTAATGTGATAATGGTATTTAAGTTTTATAAAAATGAAAAGAGGCCTTTATCTGTTCAATGAAGAAGAAATACTACTATATACATTAGACTCATAAGGAGAAAAAAAATGCTTACAAATATAACGTTGGCTACCACCTAAGGACACACAACTACCAAAAAAGTAAAGACAATTATCTGATCAATAACAGAAACATGTTCTATAAGGGTATAGATAGAAAAAAATTGAAGATATTTTATGAAGTAGATCTCTCTGGGGAACAATTCAGGCCATGCTACCTCCCTGCACCCCTGTGTATTTCAACAATGGTATAAATACTTATACCATTCTGTGTTTACACATTCACAGAGAGGAATGACTGGAGACAGCCCCAAGAAAAATCTGATCTAGACACTGGGGGAGTAATATTCTACCTCCAAAATCTGAAACTAGAACTAAGACAAAGTAGATACTTGAGCTGAAAAGTGTTAGATTTGGCCAGGCACAGTGACTCACACCTACAATCCCAGCACTATGGCTCACTTGAGGTCAGGAGTTTGAGACCAGCCTGGCCAACATGGTGAAACCCCATCTATACTAAAAATACAAAAATTAGCCCAGCACGGTGGTGTGCACCTATAATCCCAGCTACTTGGGAGGCTGGGGCAGGAGGATCATTTAAACCTGGGAGATGGGGGTTGCAGTGAGCTGAGATTGTGCCACTGCACTGTAGCCTGGGTGACAGCGAGACTCCATCCCAGAAGAGGAGAGAGGAGAGAGGAGAGGAGAGGGGAGGGGAGAGGAGAGGGGAGGGGAGGGGGAAGGGGAGAGGGGAAAGAGGAGGGGGGAAGAGGGGAAATAGGAGAGGGGAGAAGAGGGTAAGAGAGGGACAAGAGGGAAGGGGAGGAGAGAAGAGAGAAGAGGGAAGGGGAGGGGAGAAGACAGGGAGGGGGAGGAGGAAGAGAAGGGGGAGATCAGGGGAGAAGAGAAAAAAGGGGAGGGGAGGGAAAAAGAGGGCAGGGCAGGCAGGGGAGGGGAGGGGAGGGAAAAGAGGAAAGGAGAAGACTATTAGATTTGATGAGAGGGCCATCTTGAGCAACTTTAACAAAGAAAAAGGCAATAAACTACAGAAAAGGGATCTCAACACTAAGCCAGAATGGAAGAAGTACAAACCTGTTTCCAAAATTTGATAGTTTCAGATTTGATGCTTAAGGACAGATCCTACAAGATATAACTAATGATAAGGGACTGAAAAAGAATTTATCCACCAAACCCTCTCTATAAAAACTTAAGTAGGGTCACTAAAACCATTACTTCATTTAAACCTGTTAACTATATACTTGGCTTACTACTAATTTTATATTTCAGAAAAGACGTAATCCTTTAAATGAATGCTGGAAAGAAGTGTTTACCATGTGGCAATTTCTCGATTGTCATCCTCTGGTGGTGCTTTCAGAATATCAGTGGCAACAGTATGACAGGGATAGTCAGCAAAACAGAAGATCTCTGGATTTATAAGGGAATGTTGAATGAAGGAGAGCTGCAATGACAAGAAACCGCTTACCACATTAATAATTGTGAATGCTATAAAAATCTGAAATGTTTTCATTAGTCTACTGTCAATCTTATCAGGTGTGGCAATTTCCCTTTTAAAATCTTAATTATTTGCCCTTTGAAAACCACACAAAATTCAGACACAAGAGGTGCATAATGAAACCCTGTCTAGATTCTCAATCATGAAAACTGTTAAAAGACTTTTGAGGCCGGGCGCGGTGGTTCAAGCCTATAATCCCATCACTTTGGGAGGCTGAGGCGGGTGGATCACGAGGTCAAGAGATCGAGACCATCCAGGTCAACATGGTGAAACCGCGTCTCTACTAAAAATGCAAAAAAAAAAAAATTAGCTGGGCATGGTGGTGTGTGCCTGTAATCCCAGCTACTCGGGAGGCTGCAGCAGGAGAATTGCCTGAACCCAGGAGGCGGAGGTTGCGGTGAGCCGAGATCGTGCCATTGCCCTCCAGCCTGGGTAACAAAAGCGAAACGTCGTCTCAAATGAAAAAAAAAAAAAAGACATTTTTGAGCCAGTTAGGGAAAGTTAAATGTTACCTTGGAAACAAACATTATTAAACTATTGGGAAAACAGCCTTACTGGTACACCTTAAGTGTCTGGCTAGTACTAAAACTATGAAGATATTCCTATAATACTTATGATAGTCCCTGCTTTTCTGTGCTATGTATAACAAATTCTACTTTACAAGAGTGTTTCCATCAATGGGTAGATGGCAGTGGATAAAGAATACGTCATGTTTCATTACGCCTTCTGTAACTAAATACCACCCACTCACCTGGCCTTCAGCATGTTTCCAAGGTCTATATATGAGGTCTACTGGGAACACTTCCATACCCAAACCCCTCTGAATGCCATAAACCACATTATGAAGTCCTTTACTGTCACGAATTTGAAATCCAGGATGGTCCAGTTCATAAGTTACTTCCTTGAAATTCAAACTCGGATTCTAAAAAAGACCAAAGCAGTTTAAAATTTAACGAATGTATGTATATTTTGATACGTTATCCAAAAGGCCAAATTAAATCTGAAATTCAATTTAGATGTTCTACTTACAAAATTTTAAAAGGAAATTTAAAGAAACCCACTTTCCCTGCCCCAGAGAGAGTATCAACTCTGTCGTCCAGGCTAGAGTGCAGCGGCACAATCTCGGGTAACTGCAACCTGCACCTCCCGGGTTTAAGCGATGCTTGTGCCTCAGCCTCCCAAGTGCCTGGGATTACAGAAGTACACCAACATGCCCAGGTAATTTTTTTTATATTTAGCAGAGACAAGGTTTCGTCTTGTTGGCCAGGCTGGTCTCAAACTCCTGGCCTCATGTGATGCACTGGCCTTGGCCTCCCAAAGAGTTGAAATTACAGGAGTGAGCCACCACATCCAGCTTATCACACTACCTTTTAATATCTAAAAGTTCCTTTCCAGGGTTGGGTACAGTGGCTTGTGCCTGTAATCACAGGACTTTGGAAGGAGGGCAGGTTACCTGAGGTCAGGCATTTGATACAGGCCTGGATAAAACCTCACCTCTACTAAAAATTAAAAGAAAAAATTAGCTAGGCATGGTAGCACAAGCCTGTAATCCCAGCTACCTGGGAAGCTAAGGCAGGAGAACCGCTTGAACCCAGGAGGTAGAGGATGCAGTGAGCCATGATTGCACCACTGCACTCCAGCCTGGGCAACTTCATCTTAAAAAAATAAAAAAATACACACACACACACACACACAAAAAAAAAAAACAAAAAACAAAAGTAAGTTCCATTCCAGGCCAGGCACAATGGCTCACACTTGTAATACCAACCGATTGAGAGGCCGAGGTGGGAGGATCACTAACTAAAGCCCAGGAGTTAAAGTCCAATATGGGCAACATAGCTAAAGCAAAAATAAATACAGTTCAATTCCTTTATGTCTTAAACACTCCAATATTTTAGTAGAGGTACTTTATTTTTTATTCAGTTTACAGCAAAAGTAGAAGTGGCAAGTCATTGTTCTTATCCACCATAAACAAGATTAACTCAGAAGCACCCCTCAAAAATTTAATTTGGTTATGTACTGTCTCCAGTACACAATCAACTTGGACACTATTACTTCTTGAGTTAATGAAGGTGGAGAATTTTTAAAAATTTGCTTTCTTTGGACTATATCATCCTAACATCACAAATCAAACACCATCATCACATATACTTACCAGCTCTTTAAGAACATCAATCAAGACTTCTACATTCCACGTGTGTGCCTGTGCTCCATCACTTTTATCTTTTCCATCACTCCAGATCCCACTGCCCGGAGCAGAAATACTCTGTAGAAATAAGACTTCAATTAAACAAATCCAACTATTCCACGTGTTCACTTCTGGTCAGTAGAACAACCAATCACATTGTAATTTAATAAATAAAATAAAGAGGACAGGACATTAACTCACTTGGTAAATAGCTGAATTCAACACACCTGTAATGGAATGCCATCTGTTAATCCTGAATGAGTTCGAGCCATCATTCCCAAAACCCTTGCAACCTGGGCAGCTGTGACCTCCCGAACACCAAACTGCATGATTATATTGCGACATTCTTCAATACTGAAACAGAAATGTGACTTCAGAAAAATGCTACCAGCCCCAAAACCAAGACTATGAAATTCTGGCATTATAATCTTTGAAATCCTTAGTTTTACTAACACAGGCAGAACAGAAAGTGTCATTTCTTGTTATACAGCTGGAAATGTAAAAATAATCTACTTCAGTAAGAAAATGGCAAAAGTCATTATTCTAAGTAACTTGGGAATGAAAAACCAAATATTGCATGTTCTCACTTGGTAAATAGGAGATGAGATAAGCTATGAAAATGCAAAGGCATAAGAATAAGCTAATGCCGCAGGGTTCTGAACCCCCGGATGGCCTATTAGAAAACAGCCACACAGCAGCATTTCCTCTTGGACTCCACCTCTTGTGAAATCAGCAGAGGCTACCTGGTTGATCCTGCCAGTAGCGTAAAGAAAAAAACAGAGAAAGAAATCAGCAGAGGCAATAGATTCTCACAGGAGCACAAACTCTATTGTGAACTGCTCATGAGAAGAATCTAGGTTGTGCAATCCTTTGGGTGTCTCCCTCTGTCACCCAGGCTGGAGTGCAGTGGTACAATCTCAGCTCACTGCAACCTCTGCCTCCTGGGTTCAACAATCTCAGCTCACTGCAACCTCTGCCTCCTGGGTTCAAGTGTCAGACTCCTGGGTAGCTGGGATTACAACCATGCACCACCAAGCCTGGCTAATTTATTGTATTTTTAGTGGAGACCGGGTTTCTCCATGTTGGCCAGGCTGGTCTCAAACTCATGACCTCAGGTGACCCACCTGCCTCGACCTCCCAAAGTGCTGGGATTACAGGCGTGAGCCACCATGCCCAGCCTGCACAATCCTTATGAGAATGTACTAACAGATAATCTGAGGTGGGAACAGTGTCATCCCAAATCCATCCGCCACCCCACCTACCCACAGTCCACAGGAAAACCAACTCCCACAAAACCAGTCCTGGTACCAAAAAGGTTGTGGACCACTGATACAATGAACTTTGGGGTCTTGAAGGGGACAGGAGAAGAATAAAAGACTACATATTGGGTACAGAGTACACTGCTCAGGTCATGGGTGCACCAAAATCTCAGAAATCACCACTAAAGATCCTATCCATGTAACCATAAACCACCTGTACCCCAAAAACTATTGAAATAAAAATAATTGTTTGAGACAGAGTTTCACTCTTGTTGCCCATGCTGGAGTACAATGGCACAATCTCAGCTTACTACAACCTCCACCTCCCAGGTTCAAGCAATTCTCCTGCCTCAGCCTTGCTGAGTAGCTGGGATTACAGGCGCCCACTACCTTATCCAGCTAGTTTTTTTGTATTTTTAGTAGAGACAGGGTTTCACTGTGTTGGCCAGGCTGGTCTCTAACTCCCGACCTCAGGCAATCCACCTGCCTTGGCCTCCCAAAGCGCTGGTATTACAGGCGTGAGCCACCGCACCTGGCCCAGTAAACCTTTTTTTAAAAGGCAAACAATTTTAGGCTGGGCATGGTGGCTACGAAATATAAAGAACAAAAAACTAGCCAGGTGTGGTGGCACATGCCTGTAGACCCAGCTACTTGGGAAGCTGAGGCAGGGGAATCATTTGAACCCAGGAGGCGGAGGTTGTAGTGAGCTGAGATCATGACACTGCATTCCAGCCTGGCAACAAAGTGAGACTCCACCTCAAAAACAAAAAAGGCCATTTTCAAAACATCAGTGAAGAGCCAGACATGGTGGCTCACACCTATAATCCCAGCACATTGGGAGGCCAAAGCAGGCAGATCACGAGATCAGGAGAGCAAGACCATCCTGGCTAACACAATGAAACCCTGTCTCTACTAAAAATACAAAAAATTACCCGAGTGGAGGCTGAGGCAGGAGAATTGCTTGAACCAAAAAGCAGATGTTGCACTGAGCCGAGATCATGCCACTGTATTCCAGCCTGGACAACAGAGCGAAAATCGGTCTTGGGGCGTCAATCAGTGGAAAAAAGTAAGACTCATGAGTAATGATCTCATTCACAATGACAAAAATTATCCTCAATCTTAAGATTTTAACATTCAAAGTGAGTTTGATTATTCTGTTATGTACAAAGCCTTGAAAATGTATGCTAACTTTTCAGTATGCATATTCCACAGTTTAACAAGTTATATGCCAGGCACAAGTCCAACACACACAAATGCACTATTTCAAACATAAGTGAGAATGTGGTTTGTCTAAGTTTTTAAAACATAAAAATTTTTAAGTCAAAGCAAAGCACATCAATGCCCTTAATAATTCACTCAGAAAAGTATTAATAGGCCGGGCGTGGTGGCTCATGCTTATAATCCCAGCACTTTGGGAGGCCAAGACGGGTGGATCACAAGGTCAAGAGATCAAGACCATCCTGCCTGGTCAACAAGGTGAAACCCCGTCTCTACTAAAAATACAAAAATTAGCTGGGCATGGTAGTGCACGCCTGCAGTCCCAGCTGCTCGGGAGGCTGAGGCAGGAGAACTGCATGAACCTAGAAGGCGGAGGTTGCGGTGAGCCGAGATCGTGCCATTGCACTCCAGTCTGGGTAACAACAGCGAAACTCCGTCTCAAAAGAAAAAAAAGAAAAGTATTAATAGAGTGGCCGGGCGTGGTGGCAGGCACCTGTGTCTCAGCTACTTGGGAGGCTGAGGCAGGAGAATCACTTGAACCCGGGAGGCAGAAGTTGCAGTGAGCCAAGATTGCACCACTGCATTCCAGCTCTGGGTGACAGTATCAAAAAAAAAAAAAAAAAAGTATTAATAGGCCAGGCAACGAGGCTCAAATCCCCACACTTTGTGAGACCAAGGAGGGCAGATCATGAGGTCAAGAGATCAAGACCATCCTGGCCAACATGGTGAAACCCCATCTCTACTAAAAATACAAAAATTAGCCAGGTGTGGTGACGGGTCCCTGTAATTCCAGCTACCTGGGAGGCTGACACAGGAGAATCACTTGAAACCATTAAGGCAGAGGTTGCAGTGAACCGGTATCACGACACTGCACTCCAGCCTGGGTGAAAGAGCAAAACTCCATCTCAAAATAAATAAATAAATAAAAACTAATAATCCAGTGCATCAAAGTCTTTTTTTTTTCATTGCATTTTAGATTTGGGGGTACATGTGAAGAACATGCAAGGCCGTTGCATAGGCACACACACATGGCAGTGTGATTTGCTGCCTTCCTCCCCCCTTCACCTATACGGGGCATTTCTCCCCATGCTATCTCTCCCCAACTCCCCACCCCCCACTGTCCCTCCCCTATTATCAAAGTCTTAAGTGCTACTAACAGTGTGAAACAATATCCTTTGGTACCTCATGCAAGTGAGAAAAATACTCAAGAGGTAGGGTATATAAGGGTGGAAAAGGAAGGAACCCACAGATGAAGGCAGAGTGAAGACAGAGGGTAGGGATCAAAGAGGAGAAAATTAGTCCGATTTTAGAAACTTGTTTCAAAAAATGACATCATGTTTGGCACGAGAATAATTAGAAGCTTAATATATTTTACTACCAACCTTGCACAAAAGCCATAGCCTACTTCTTGCATGAAATCAGCCAAAGAGCTCTCCATCATGGTTTTAGCTACCCCTCCGGAATCAGGCAGGATCCTGTCCATTAGAATGTCCCGTTTTTCAGGGTATAAAAGTGGTGCGAGCACCACAGGACAGCGTTCTTGGGGAAAATCTGAGAAAGGAAAAAGGTTATAAATGCTATACTAATTAAAAACAAGCAATCCTCTTTTGCCCTATCCAAAAGCCCCCTCAAACCCAATTCTCTCACAAGTTTCTATTTAAAGCCAAGTTTATTTCATTTTTTCCAGCCTACAAGCCTAAGTTATGATTTCAACTAAAGTTCCAAAATTTGAATATTTTTATATGACAAAAAATGCTCTTCAGTATACCTTTACCATTTGCTATTGGGATTCTAGTATCTATTGACCAATTCTCACCCTAAATATTACTTTAAATTTTCACAGTAGGACTAATGATTCCCATACAAGGAAAGCATCAAAAAACAATTAGAGTACTAGTCTAGGCCAGGCGTGGTGGCTCACACCTGTAATCCAAACACTCTGGAGGCCAAGGTGGGCAGATCACCTGAGGTTGGGAGTTCAAGACCAGCCTGACCAACATGGTGAAACCCTGTCTTTCAAAAAAAAAAAAATACTAGTCTATTTCACGCCTCCTGGGTTCAAGCAATTCTCCTACCTCAGCCTCCCGAGTAGCTGGGACTACAGGCTGCGCCACCACGCCCAGCTAAGTTTTGTATTTTTAGTAGAGACGGGGTTTCACCATGTTGACCAGGATGGTCTCGATCTCTTGACCTAGTGATCCACCCGCCTCAGCCTCCTCAAGTGCTGGGATTATAGGTGTGAGCCACCGCACCTGTCCGTACCTTATAATTAAACTATATAAACATTAGGAAATAAATAAAAATAACCATGAGAATGGTTGTTAACCCATTATCACAGATTTGTTTTAAAAATAATTCTCTCTCTCAAATATGAAAGCTCAGAGGCAATAAAGAACTAGGATTTACCTTAAAATTACAAGGTCAGTAGGCAAGGAGGTGAAGTAGACATATTAAAAGTGACCAATATTTTAAGCTAAAACCAGCATGTCAGGCTAGGCATGGTGCCATGCTCGCCTGGGTATCCCAAAGTGCTAGGTTTATTGGCATGAACCACCATGCCCAACCAACCTTGTCTTTTTTAAAAAAGAAAAAAAATGCTTCTGTGATGTGTTTGTGATCATCCAAGAAAACCATCCACTGTAGGCTACAAAGAGTCCCTTACCTCTGCGCAACGTCTTAAGAAAAGCCTCTATCTGTTCTTGTCCAACTCCAAAGGCTCCCTTCTGCCCAAAGAGGAGATGGGAGAGGAGGAGGTGTAAGACCTCTATCGCTATATCTTGGAAGCCACCTTCTTGATTTCCACTGACGTCTGCGTCAATATAAGAACGCAGAAGATCTGGAAGCTTCTGTTTGATAAACTGGGCAGCTAGAAGTCCGATAAACCAAAACCACATGTTATTTTTGCACCATAATGGGTAAAAAAAATCACATACCATCAAAATGCTAATTACCCTTCTTGTTCACCAGCTCACCCATCTCCCTAATGCTTTCTCTAGCTGATAGGTATAAAGAAATCAATGGTCAGGGACCGGCTGTGGGGAGGGGAAAATGGAGAGTTGCTGATGGGCATAGTTCTGTTTGACAAAATAAAGTTCTAGAGATCTATTACATAACGTGAATACAATTATGACTGTGGAACAGTACACTGACAATGGTTATGAGGGTAACATTTGTACTACATGTTTTTCACCACAGATAAAGAGAAATTAATTTCAGATTATCTTACTCTCTCAGTCTAAACCACAGAGCCTCATGATTAAAATTCCATGTATTTTAAAGTCTCTCTTCATGATATTTTTGGAAAAGTAACTTACCGAAACCTCTAAGATCTGAGCTGGAAGAATTCAACAGGGCAAGGCCAAAAATTACCTGAAATGAGAAGTTAAATTAACCAAAGAGTCAAATGGCTTTTTGTTGTTTTGTTTTTGTCTGCATCTCTCTTCTTAAATCACTCACCTCTTGTACTTTGCTTAATTTGAGCACTTTACTCAGCTGGGCAAATAAGTGGGGTGCAGGCTTTAAACTCTGAAACACACGAAATTTTATTTTAAAACGAGAACTTGCTTTTTCAAAAAGTTTTTAACAGTATCTTTTTGCCCAAGGATGTTACTACATAGGAGTTATTACACTATGTCCTAGAACTGTGGAATGACAACTTAAGCCTTTCCATGATCTTGTTTTAGTAAGATTCTGGTTATTATTAAATAAGCTGCCTTGATTTTGTTACAGAGCTATAAAAGACACACCAAAGTAACAACTAAAAATTTTTATATTAAGACATCACATTATGAGATCAAGGCTCAGGGCCTTTTCAGAAAGCCTAAGAAGAGATCACATTCTTAGACTATTAAAGATAATAGTAATACCAACCTTCTGATAGTGCAATGGATTATCAATGGCATACGACAACGTCGAGATAAAATTTGGCTTTGTAATCAGCAATGCACACTCCTGAATCAGAAACTGAGTCTTTAAAAATAAAAAATGAATTCTCATTAGCACTAATCACCATCTAAGAAAATTCTCAGAACATTAAAATGTGATCTAATACTATATATTATCAAAATAAGCTCTTTAAAAATCTCACCAGGCACAGAGGCTCACACCCATAATCCCAGCAGCACTTTGAGAGACCAGAGTAGGTGGATCACCTGAAGCCAGGAGTTCAAGACCTGCCTGGCCAACATAGTAAACCCTGTCTGTACTAAAAATACAAAAATTAGCCGGGCATGGTTGTGGGCACCTGTAACTCAGCTACTTGGGAGGCTGAGGCAGGAGAATCACTTGAACCCAGGAGGCAGAGGTTGCAATGAGCCAAGATCATGCCTCTACACTCCAACCTGGGTGACAAGAGCAAGACTCAGCCCCCACTCCCCCACACACACACACACACAAAAACACAAGGTAAAAGGAACCAGGAAATAAAAATGTAAAAGTCATAAAAATAGAGGTATTTTTTAAAAATCTCATTAAACTACTCAAAGTCTCTTAGCTGCAAAATTTCCAGTAAGTAAGAGCCCACTGACAAGAGTACTCTAAGAAATAGTGGGCCAGGTACAGTGGCTCACACCTGTAATTGATCATGAGGTCAGGAGATCAACACCATCCTGGCTACCTCAGTGAAAACCCATCTCTACTAAAATTACAAAAAATTAGCTGGGCATGGTGGCACACACCTGTAGTCCCAGTTACTTGGGAGGCTAAAGGAGGAGAATCACTTGAGCTCAGGAGGCAGAGGTTGCAATAAGCCCAGGTTGTGCCACTGCACTCCAGCCTGGGCAACAGGGCAAGACTCTGTCTCAAAAAAAAAAAAAAAAAAAAAAAGAAAGAAAAAGAATGGCGGGGAGTGTTGGGAGGCTGAAGCAGGCGGCTCATGAGGTCAACAGATCGACACTATCCTAGCCAATATGTGAAACCCCAACTCAAAGAAAAAGAAAGAAACAGTATTATGACAAACTCTTGCCAGATTTGGAATCAAGCTAGAGGAGATTCAATCCAAGACACGAGATCCCCTCTGCCTTACGAACTTTACAGGCAAGGAATCCCCGACATTCCTGCTTCCTTCAGGCAGGTCTGATCCCTGCCTCTATAAACCTGAACAAGTTAGCTGTTACAGTCTACAGCCAGGCAGAAAAGACAGACAGAAAAAAAAAGAAAAATCTAACACCTTTTCACCATCCAGCTACAATTACTTCTGGATGCGATTTTGTATGTGTCATGTGATACATACACACTATGCCCAAAATTCAATGCCTTGAACAATTACAGTTAAGTGGACATGAACTTCGTAAGCCCCAAATACCTGATGGAAATCTTTGCCACTGCTTTTACCATCGCCACTGAAATCCACATGCGAAAATAGGCAGCGTAATAAATGCCTGTCTGCCTCAGGACCGTGCCGATTCACAATCTAAAATGACCAAAAATAATATGTTTAAGAGAAGATTTTTAAAAATCTAAGGTTTCAAATAAGAAAATCAACCTCCAAGGCAAAATTCCAATTTACATTAATTGTTCTTTTTTTAATTAAGGTTAAAGGAATTATTGATGCAAGTTCCCTTAATTTACAATTAAAATTTTTTAAGTATTTAGAGTATTTTAGATTATTTAGAGTATATAATATCAGCTCTGTATTCCCCAGGCTGATATTGAACTCCTGGAATCATAGCATCTTCTCACCTCACCCTTCTGAGTAGCTGGGATCACAGGCATACACCACTGCTTCCAGCTGTAATTAAGTATTTTTAAGTGTTTCCTATAGTGAGTTGCTTGCATGAAGAAGAGAAGAAAAACTACAGTGATTTTACCATGCAACTCTGTCATCTACATCAAAAACATCAAGCATATTAATCAATGTGTAATAAAAAGATTTTTTCTTTTTTTTAGTTTTAAGGCAAAGTTTTACGTAACTCAAATTCTCTCTGCTAACACAACCGTAATGCTATATGGCACAGCCTTAAATGAAGCTCTGTCTGACTTAAGAGATTTAGATGCTGCCCTTGAGCTCAGTTTCCTGCTCTTCCTCAAATTTACCCATGTTTGTTTGCATTTGTTATCCTCTCAAAATGGAAAACTCCAGAGAGCTATACATGGTTTGTTCTTTCACTTCATTTAGATTTCTACTCTAAAGCCACCTTATCAGTGAGGCCTTTATTACTATTCCTAAAATAGCAATGACCTGCCCAGCATCATTCCTTATTCTGCTTCACCTTTTTTCATTAGCATTTACCACTACCTGATAATTTATTAAAATTTTGTGTAGCTGTGTCAACTTCCAAATATCTAGTATAGAAAAGAGTTGAGAAAACTCTATATACAGAATAATCATGTTTACTAAAAGCCACAACTACCTACTCATTGGGATAGATATTATACTGAGCTTTCCTGGCTTAATCTTCAACTCTGCTAAAATTTACCACACTCTGCCCCCATGGATAAGGGGTTAACATAGTAAAAACAGCCTCCTTGAACCTAAAATCCAAGACTATGAGCCAAAAAATCTGGATTTATAGTCCAACTTCAGAGCCTATGATCTTCCCACTGTATCATGGTAAGTACAAGAAAGCGGGCTAAGTTCTTAGCTTATTTCAGTTTCCCTTTTCCTTATTCAGAAAATACGGGAGTTAAGAAAGACCATCTCAGCTAGGCATGGTGACTCAGGCCTGTAATTCCAGCACTTTGGGAGGCTGAGATCAGCAGATCACCTGAAGGTGGGAGTTCATGACCAGCATGACCAACGTGGAGAAACCCCATCTCTAAACAACAAACAAAAAATTTTAACAACAACAAAAAAGCCTGAGGCAGGAGGATCACTTGAGCCTAGGAGTTCAAGGTTAAAGTGAGCTATGATGGTAGCACTGCACTCCCACCTTAGGGGACAAAGCAAGACCCCATCTCAATAAAAACTAAAAAAAGAACAGAACTATGATCCAATTAACCAGATCTCTCACCCTTGAAAAATAAGGTAATCTTGCTCAACCTACATTTGTTGAGTATATGCTAGGCACTATTCTAGGTGCTGGCCATGCACAGTGGCTCACACCTGTAATCTCAGCACTTTAGAAGGCTACGGTAGGAGAATAACTTGAAGCCAGGAGCTTGAGACCAGCCTGGGCAACACAGCAAGACCTGCGTCTACAAAATATAAAAAAGTTAGCCAAGCATGGTAGCACATGCCTGTAGCAAGCTACTCAAGAGGCTGAGGCAGAAGAACTGCTTTAGCCCAGGAGTTTGAGGAAATTATGATCTTGCCATTGCATTCCAGCCTGGCTCCTGGCAACAGAGTAAGACTCTATCTCAAAAAAAAAAAAAAAAAAAAAATTACCAAGTTATGTATTTTAAAACGGTAAACTTGTCCAGGTATGGTAGCTCATGCCTCTAATTGCAGTACTTGGGAGGTTTAGAAAGTTTGAGACCAACCTGGCCTACATGGTGAAACCCCCTCTCTACTAAAAATACAAAAATCAGGCTGGGCACACTGGTTCATGCCTGTATTCCCAGCACTTTGGGAGAACAAGGCAGATGGATCATGAGGTCAGGAGTTCGAGAACAGCCTGGCCAACAAGGAGGCTGAGGCATGAAAATCACTTGAATTCAGAAGGTGGAGGCTGCAGTGAGCCAAAATTGCACCACTACACTCCAGCCTGGGCAATTCTGTCTCAAAAGAAAAAAAAAAAAAAAGAAGAAAAGAAAGCCTAGGGCCCAGGCAAACCAATTTTATAATTTCCATGGAAAATAAAAAGTTGTGAAAAACCTTTATTAAAAAAAGATCGAGCTGGGCACAATGGCTCACACCAGTAATCCCAGCACGATGGGAGGCCGAGGCGGGGGAATCGCTTGAGGTCGGGAGTTCAAGACCAGACTGGCCAACATAGTAAAACCCTGTCTCAACTAAAAATACAAAACTTAGCCGGGCATGGTGGCAGACGCCTGTAACCCCAGCTACTCGGGAGGCTGAGGCAGGAGAATCGCTTGAAACCAGGAGGCAGAAATGCAGTGAGCTGAGATTGTGCCAATGCACTCCAGCCTGGCTGACAGAATGAGACTCTCTCTCAAAAAAAGAAAAAAAAAATGATTGGCTAAGATTGCTTTTACATATGATGATCAGAGATATCACCTGAAATAATGTGCAAAAGTTAGTTACCTTTCATGCAACATGCCCACATAAATTTGTGGTTTTCTTTCCACTGTTTACTTTAATGACACTTGTTTTCTGGCTAGTTTACTTACATGCTGTATTTCCTGCTGGCTGGCTCGGTAATTTTTCTTGGTTAAATTGTCCACCAGGTAGCTGATTTGAGACAAGGCCAGCGAGAGCGAGTCAAGATTCATTGCTGGTTGGGGCGGAAGCAGGCGGCCGAGCCCGGCGCAAAATCACCATTATTCCCCTTTAGTCACCTCAGAGGCAGGTTAATGCTTTCTTTTTAATTAGGCTATATCTGGTGTCTGTATAAGTTCTTCAGTTCTTCTTTACCAGGGGTCTTACTCTGTTCTGAAACATGGCACCTGTTTAAAAAAATACACACACACATCCAGATTTTTAAATTAAAGGAAAAGGGTGGCTGGTCCAAGTGCAGTGGTATTTACAACTAACTGATCACAACTAGTTGCAGATTTCTTTGTTCCTTGCCACTCCCATTGCTTCCCCTGACTTGCCTTTAAGAGAATTGGGCTCTGTGTTAGTACCTAAAATGCTATCATGTACCTTAAAAAAATAAGTAAAGTAGCTCTTTACTTACACTTCTTTAAAAAGGAGTAAAATAACTCCCTACTTAAACAAACAGGAAAAAGATAGTAAAACAGCTTAACCACTGTTGATAAAAGATACCAAGTTTCTCAATTAGGCAGGGCAAGTATAAAATGAAAATACATTTTACACTGTAGGTGGGAGTGTAAATTAGTTCAACCACTGTGAAAGACAGTGTGGTGATTCCTCAAGGATCTAGAACCAGAAATACCATTCTGTTCATTTTGTATATACCCAAAAGATTACAAATCATTTTACTATAAAGACACATGCACAAGTATCTGTGCTGTGTGCAGCACTGTTCACAACACCAAAGACTTGGAACCAACCCAATGCCCATCAATGATAGACTGGATAACGAAAATGTAACACATATACGCCATGGAATACTATGCAGCCATAAAAAAGGATGAGTTCATGTCCTTTGCAGGGACCTGGATAAAGCAGAAACCAACATTCTCAGCAAACTAACACAGGAACAGAAAACCAAACATCACATGTTCTCACTCATAAATGGCAGTTAACAATCAGAACACATGGACACAGGAAGGGGAACATCACACACCAGGACCTGTGGAGGGGTAGGGGGCTCAAGAAGAAATAGAATTAGGAGAAAAAAAAAGAGAGAGAGAGAAAGTAAGTGGCTGGTCGAGGTGGCTCACGTCTCTAATCCCAGCACTTTGGGAGGCCGAGGTGGGTGGATCACAAGGTCAGGAGTTCGAGACAGGCCTGGCCAACATGGTGAAACCCCATCTCTACTAAAAATAGAAAAGTTAGCCAGGCATGCTGGCGCATGCCTATAATCTCAGCTACTCGGGAGGCTGAGGCAGAAGTGCTTGAACCGGGGAGGTGGAGGTTGCAGTGAGTCAACATCGCACCACTGCATGCCAGCCTGGGCAAGAGAGCAGACTCCATCTTGAAAAAAAACCCACTCAACCAAAGAGTTTTGTTTTAGTAAGATAACCTGTAACACTTGCATTATTTCAAAATGTTAATTTTGGCCGGGAGCGGTGGCTCATGCCTATAATCCCAGCACTTTGGGAGGCCGAGGCAGGTGGATCACGAGGTCAAGAGATCGAGACCATCCTGGTCAACATGGTGAAATCCCGTCTCTACCAAAAATACAAAAAATTAGCTGGGCATGGTAGCGCGTGCCTGTAATCCCAGCTACTCAGGAGGCTGAGGCAGAATTGCCTGAAACCAGGAGGCGGAGGTTGCAGTGAGCCGAGATCACACCATTGCACTCCAGCCAGGGTAACAAGAGCGAAACTCCATCTCAAAGAAAAAAAAAAAAAGAGAAGGGGTTTCACCATGTTGGCCAGGCTAGTCTCGAATTCCAGACCTCAGATGATCTACCTGCTTTGGCCTTCCAAAGTGCTGGGATTACAGGCATGAGCCATGGAGCCAGGCACCCTGGCTACTTTTTGTATTTTTAGAAGAGAAAGGGTTTTGCCATGATGGCCATGCTGGTCTCTAACTCCTGACCCTCAGTGATCCACCCATTTCTGCCTCCCAAAGCACTGGGATTACAGGTGTGAACCACTGTACCTGGCCTTATCTTTATTTTTTTCTAAGTAAAAAAAACAAATGCACACAATATCCATTTTCTAAAGAATTCACCAAGAGGCCAGGTGCAGTGGCTCATGCCTGTAATCCCAGCACTTTGGGAGGCCAAGGTGGGTGAATCACAAGGTCAGGAGTTTGAGACCAGCCTGGCCAAGATGGTGAACCCTGTCTCTACTAAAAATACAAAAATTAATCAGGCATGGTGGCAGGCACCTGTAATTCCAGCTACTCGGGAGGCTGAGACAGGAGAATTGCTTGAGAGAACTGCTGGGAGGTAGAGTGAACTGAGATTGCGCCATTGCACTCCAGCCTGGGCAGTTAAGAGTGAAACTCTTGTCTCAAATACAACAACAAAAAATAGAGACAGAGTCTCATGTTGCTCAGGTTTGTCCAACTATAATATTAATACTATAATACTAAGAATTGTTCTAAGCACTAAGAATTCAAGGGTGATACTATTATTCCAACTTTAAAGATAAGGAATAGTTCAATTTTCAGATAGTAAGTATAATTTTGAAGATATTGAGCAAGTAGAGGTAAGATTTAAAAAAAAAGCAAAAAATAAAAATTTTAAAAAGCAGTAACTTATGTATTATAGTTTCAAAATCAATTTGTACAAGTCTAAATTTTTGTCTTGCTTTGTCACCCAGGCTGGAGTGCAGTGGTGTGATCTCGGGTTTGAACAATTCTCCTGCCTCAGCCTTCCCCAAGTAGCTGGAATTACAAGCACATGCCACCAGGCCCAGCTAAACACTTGGGAGCAAGAAAGGGGTTTTACCATGTTGCTCAGGTTGGTAATTAATTGTTGCTCAGGCTAGTAAATAATACCAATTCCTGTTATCAGTAAGTATCTCCAACCTCACAGAAGAGTTTTAGATTCCTAGACTATCTGCATTATACCTCAGCACTGAATACTTAGGAGTCACCTTTCTATTACTTTTTCTCCAGCCAATGAACAAACTTTAAAAACTATCAACTGAAAGCCTAAATATCCATCAAAAGGACACTGGTTAAGCAAATCATAAAATGGCACACTATGTCTTCCTATAGGTAAGCATGTTAAAAAAAAAAAGGCATACTATGTAATAACTTAAAAAAAAAAAGGGACCCAGAAAGAGTAAAAATTACCTATGGGGGGGAGGGGAGTCACATAACAGTGGTCTGTTGGCCAGGTGCGCTCACACCTGTAATTCCAGCACTTTGGTAGGCTGAGGTGGGCAGATCACTTGATGTTGGGAGTTCAAGACCAGCCTGACCAACATGGAGAAACCCCATCTCTACTAAAAATACAAAATTAGCTGGACATGGTGGCATTTGCCTATAATCCTAGCTACTTGGGAGGTTGAAGCAGGAGAACTGCTTGAACCCAGGAGGCAGAGGTTGCAGTGAGCCGAGATCCTGCCACTGCACTGCAGCCTGGGTAACAAGAGCAAAACTTGGTCTCAAAAACCAGTGGTCTAAAATATGTTCTTACATACATAAAGTATCTAATAAAAATAACTCTTGGCCGGGCGCGGTGGCTCACGCCTGTAATCCCAGCACTTTGGGAGGCCAAGGCAGGTGGATCACGAGGTCAACAGATCGAGACCATCCTGGTCAACATGGTGAAACCCCGTCTCTACTAAAAATACAAAAAATTAGCTGGGCATGGTGGCGCGTGCCTATAATCCCAGCTACTCAGGAGGCTGAGGCAGGAGAATTGCCTGAACTCAGGAGGCGGAGGTTGCGGTGAGCCGAGATCGCGCCATTGTACTCCAGCCTGGGTAACAAGAGCGAAACTCCGTCTCAAAAAAAAAAAACTCTTTTGAAAAGTTAGATAAATTAGTTGAAAAAGGAATTGAATTTTTCAAGTAGAAAATTAACTATCAAAACCAACAAAATATTACGCCAGTAACTTTGCACATTCCAAGACTCTCTTTGCAAAATCCCAACCTATAGAAGTAATTCACCTAATTCACTGTAGAAAAGAGATAATATAGATGGCCTGAGCCTGCTGTCCTTAAAAAGGTTTGCACAGTTGGCCCTTTGGATAACTTCAGATAACTTTCCGAAGAGTTCCCGCCATCCCCAGGGCTACTAAGAGTGACTCATTCTGCATTAAGTGCACAAACAAATGTGGTTTGTGATGAACACCAGCTTTCTGTGTAAGACCCTAAAATTTTACTATGTAGTAGGCAGAGGGTACCTACCTACACGAATAGGTCCCACCAATAATAACAATAGGCACTGAGTCTCTTACTAAAGCTTTCCTACTAGGCATCATTTCACATACATGTGCTGGTCACAACTCCATCATGATAGAGGAACTGAGTGTGTCCTGTTTGACTCCACTGGGAGAAGACACTTGGGAGCATGAGCCTGGTTTCCTCCTGGCTTCATCCCATTCACCATCTCCCTTTGCTGATTTTGTTTTGTATCCTTTGCCACAGAAATATACTTTTTATTGTATTTTCTTTTTTTGAGACAGGGTCTCACTCTGTTGACCAGGTTGGAGTGCAGTGGCCCGAGCTGGGCTCACTGCAGCGTACACCTACCAGACTCATGCCATCCTCCTGCTTCAGCATCCGGAGTAGCTAGGACAACAGGCATGTACAACCACATCCGGCTAATTTTTTGTATTTTTACTAGAGATGGGGTTTCACCATGTTGACCAGGCTGGTCTCGAACTCCTGGCCTCAAGTGATCTGTCTGCCATGGTCTCCCAAAGTGCTGGGATTACAGGTGTCAGCCACCGCACCAGGCCTGTATCCTTTGCTATTAAAAAACAAAACAAAACAAAACACCAAGCACTGGTTCCTGCCTGTAATCCCAGCACTCTGGGAGGCTGAGACAGGTGGATCACCTGAGGTGGGAAGTTTGAGACCAGCCTGACCAAAACTGAGAAACTCCATCTCTACTAAAAATACAAAAATTAGCCGGGTGTAGTGGCACATGCCTATAATCCCAGCTACTCAGGAGGCTGAGAAAGAATCACTTGCAGGTAGCAGTTAGCCCTCTAGCCCGGGCAACAAAGGTCAAACTCCACCGGGCATGGTGGCTCAGGCCTGTAATCCAATTTGGAGGCCAAGGCGGGAGTTCATGACTAGCCTGACCAACATGGTGAAACCTCATCTTTTTTTAAAAAAAAAAAAGTCAAACTCCTTCTTAAGAAAAAAAAAAAGCAGATAGCCCTGGGGTGTCCTCCTAGTGAATTACTAAACCTGCAGGTAGACTTCAGAACTGCCCCTAACACTCTTGCCCAGCTAGTGGCAGAGATGAAGTGTCATCTGGAGGCAAATGTGACCCAAATTGTGGATTTCCTGTCTAGTACATAGAGAATCCATTTCAGAATTTTAAATCTTATCACAGAGATGATCTGGGAAGTTATTTTGATTTAAAGAATTAAACTATAGGCCGGGCACTGTGGCTCATGCCTGTAATCCCAGCACTTTGGGAGGCCAAGGCGGGTGGATCACGAGGTCAAGAGATTGAGACCATCCTGGTGAACATGGTAAAACCCTGTCTCTACTAAAAATACAAAAAAAAAAATTAGCTGGGCACAGTGGCGTGTGCCTGTAATCCCAGCTACTCAGGAGGCTGAGGCAGGAGAACTGCTTGAACCCGTGAGGCAGAGGTTGCAGTTAGCCAAGATCACGCCACTGTATTTCAGCCCAGATGACAGAGTGAGAGTCCATCTCACAAAAAAAAAAAAAAAAAAAATACTTTTTTTTTTTTAAAAGACGAAGTTTCACCATGTTGGTCAGGCTGGTCTTAAACTCCTGACCTCAGGTGATCCACCCGCCTTGGCCTCTAAAGTACTTGGATTACAGGTGTGAGCCACCGCGCCCGGCCAAAAGTTACTCTTTATGATGGGAAATACCAAGAGCGGAACAATCAGGTTACAAGAAAGGTGAATGTACTCAAGGAACCACAGGCCAGACACAGTAGCTTGCACTTCTAATCCCAGCACTTTGGGAGGCCAAGAGGGAAGAGCAGCTTGGAAACAAGAGTTCAAGACCAACCTAGGCAACATAGAAGAATCCCATCTCTACTTTCTTTCAAATTAGCAGGGTGTAGTGGCTAATGCCTGTAGCCATAGCTCCGTGGGAGGCTGAAGAAGGAGGACTGTTTGAGCCCAAATGTTCAAGCTTGCAGTGAGCTATCATCAGGACAGTCTTCCAGCCTGGGTGACAGAACAAGACATCGACTCTACCAAAAACATAAAAAAGAAGAAATTGCTGGCTGGGTGTGGTGGCTCACACCTGTAATCCTATCAGTATGGGAGGCCAAGGTGGGTGGACTGACTGAACTCAGGAGTTTGAGACCAGCCTGGGCAACATGTTGAAACCCAGTCTTCACTAAAATACAAAAGAATTAGCTGGCCATGGCAGCGTGTGCCTGTAGTCCCAGCTACTCAGGAGGCTGAGGAAGGAGAATTGCTTAAACTCGGGAGACAGAGGTTGCAGTGAGCCGAAATCACACCACTACATGCCAGTCTAGGCAACAGTGCAAGACTCTGTCTCAACCAAAAAAAAAGAAGGAAAAAAAGGAAGAATTGTTGCAATGGCTTTTTTTTTTTTTAAGACGGGGTTTCACCATGTTGATCAGGCTGGTCTTGAACTCCCAACCTCAGGTGATCCACTCACCTTGGCCTCCAAAGTGCTTGGATTACAGGCGTGAGCCACCACGCCCGGCTGACTTTTTTTTTTTAAGACGGAGTCTGGCTCCATCACCCAGTCTGGCATGCCGTGGCGCTATCTCGGCTCACTGCAACCTCTGCTTCCCAAGTTCAAGCAGTTCTCCTGCCTCAGCCTCCTGAGTAGCTGGGATTACAGGCACGTGCCACCATGCCCAGCCAATTTTTTGTATTTTTAGTAGAGACAGGGTTTCACCATGTTGACCAGGATGGTCTCGATCTGTTGACCTTGGGACCCACCCACCTTGGCCTCCCAAAGTGCTGGGATGACAGGTGTGAGTCACGGCACCCAACCTGAAAAAAAACTGTTTTTATTTTTTATTTTTAGTAGAGATGGGGTCTTGCTATATTGCCCAGGCTGGTCTCAAACTCCTGAGCTCAAGCAATTCTCCCACCACAGCCTCCCAAAGTGCTGGAATTACAGGGGTGAGCCACAGCAACCAGCTGGTTTTTTTTTTTTAAAGGGGAAACATGATATAGTCAAAGTTCGGGCCCTTCACTACCCATTGTAGTACTAATTTTCTATATTCTTGTTTCAGGTTGGTTTGCCTTTCATGATGATGTGATTATATATTACTACTAGATTATTCAGCAGCATTTTTTTTTCCAATACTGTGTATGCCAATTTCAGAGATTTTAAAAGATGGAAATTTTGTTTCAGAATCAGTGAAACATGGTATTTCTTTTGCCCCATGTAGTCTTGTGTTACATGTGCTATTATTGTAAAACTAAAATAACTTTAAATGACTTGTGATTTATACCAAGAATAAGTGAATCTAAAAGTAAACAAAATAACCGTAATGAGAAATCTGAACCTCTAGAAGGCATCTACTAGGGGGAAAAAAAGAGGAAGAGGTCGGGCGCGGTGGCTCATGCCTGTAATCCCAGCACTTTGGGAGGCCGAGGTGGGCGGATCACAAAGTCAGGAGATCAAGACCATCCTGGCCAACATGGTGAAACCCCGTCTCTACTAAAGATACAAAAAAAATTAGCTGGGCATGGTGACGCATGCCTGTAATCCTAGCTACTCAGGAGGCTGAGGCAGGAAAATTGCTTGAACCCAGGAGGCGGAGGAAGTTGCAGTGGGCCGAGATTGCGCCACTGCACTGCAAGACTCTGTCTCAAAAAAAAACCAAAAAACAAAACTGAAGAGCTGTATCATCTCCAAAAGCACTTCGAAATGTTTAGGTGTGGTAAGAGTTACTGGCATTCAGTAAGAATTAAGGATGAAATTAAACATTTTGTAAAATGCCAGGTGCAGTGATTCACGCCTATAACCCCAGCAATTTGGGAGGCTGAGCCAAGAGGATCACTTGAACCCAGAGTTTGAGACCCATCTCAACAAATAAATAAATAAGTAAGCAAGCAGGGCATGGTGGCATGCACCTGTAGTCCTGGCTACTAAGAAGGCTGAGGTGGGAGGATCACTTAAGCCTAAGAGGTCGAGGATACAATAAGCTGTGACTGCACCACTGTACTCCAACCTGGGCAACAGAGCAAGACTCTATCTCAAAAAATTTTTTAATTAAAAAAAAAAAAAAAATCATACCTTGCAAGGGGATAATACAGGTTGAGCATCCCAAATGTGAAAATCCAAAGTTCAAAAGACTCCAAAATGCAAAACGTTTTGAGTGCAAATATAACACTCAAAGGAAATATTCATTGGCGCATACTGCTAAGTATAACGAGAATATTCCAAAATCTGAAATCAGAAACATGTCTAGTCTCAAGCATTTAAGATAAAGGATACTATTCTGCAAAAGTGCCATTAAAAAATAAAAATTAAGGCCGGGTGTGTTGGCTCACGCCTGTAATTCTAGCACTTAGGGAGGTGGAGGTGGGTGGAGCACCTGAGATCAGGAGTTCAAGACCAGCCTGGCCAACATGGTGAAACCCCATCTTAAAAGTAAATAAATAAACAAATAAATAAATAAATAAATAAAATAAAGGATATTCAACCTGTATCACCAACAAAGAACTAACTACCTGCCCAAATGCCAATTGTACCCTCGTCTTGAGAAAATGGCTGATACATCCACCTTCTGCCCTCAATGTAAACACCTCAAAATTAACTTTTGGTCGGTGCAGTGGCTCATGCCTGTAATTTCAGCACTTGGGAGGCTGAGCCAGGATGACCACTTGAAACCAGGAGTTTAAGACCAGCTTGGGCAACACAGCAAGACCCTATCTCTACAATTACAACAATAAAAATTAGCTGGGTATGGCATCGGGTGCCTATAGTCTTAGCTACTTGGGGGGCTGATATGGTAGCCCAAGGACTCTGTAGTTTTAATGAGCTAGCACGACATCAACTGCACTCCAGCCTGGGTGACACAGCAAGACCCTGCCTGTATAAAATTAAAGAAAAAATTGACTTTCCACATTAACACAAAGCCAAGCACAACTTAAATCCAGAAGATGGTACGTAAATTATGTGAAGTGGCTACCACAGTTATTAGAAAAAGAGTTTATGCATAACTGTTTTGTGGTGGATTGTGTACTTGCATCTACAATCCCAGCCAGCTACTCAGGAGGCTCAGGCAGGAAGACTGAGCCCAGGAGTTCAAAATTGCACTGAGCTACTATTTCTCTAAAAACAATAATTAAAAAGAGTTCAAGACAGGCACGGTGGCTCACATCTGCAATCCTAGCACTTTGGGAGGCTGAGGTGGCCTGATCACCTGAGGTCAGTAATTCGAAACCAGCCTGACCAACAGGGTGAAACCCAGTCTCTACTAACAGTACAAAAAATCAGCTAGGCGTGGTGGTGGGCACCTGTAATCCCAGCTATTTGGGAAGCTGATATGGGAGATACACTTGAACCCGAGAGGAGGTTGCAGTGAGCCAAGAATGTGCCATTGCACTCTATCCTGGGCAGCACATGGAACTCTGTCTTAAAAAAAAAAAGTCAACCTGTCAACATGATAAAACCCCATTCTCTACTAAAAATACAAAAATTAGCAGGGTATGGTGGCACACACCTGTAGTCCTAGCCACTTGGGAGGCAGAGGTATGAGAATCACTTGAACACAGGAGGCAGCGATTGCAGTGAGCTGAGATAACGCCACTGCACTCCAGCCTGGGTGACACAGTGAGATACTGTCTCAAAAAAAAAAAAAAAGTTGACCTTTTGTAGTTCATAAGCATAATGACTGTGTGAGATGTGCCAACCTCAAACCTTGTTACATCAGCAGGTCACCTGTCTGAAATGAAAAGAGTTGACTTGCTTTTTATATACATGTCATTTTAAACAAGATTTTTTTCACTCAATACTAGAGTGCCTTCAATAACTTGTAACATTTAATAGCCCTGTGTCCGTGTTTTAAGCATTTTACAAGAATTAATCTAATCCAGGCCAGGCCTGGTGGCTCCTGCCTGTAATCCCAGCACTTTGGGAGGCCAAGGTGGGAGGACTATTTGAAGCTGGGAGTGCAAGTTGAGGCTGAGCAACATAGTGAGAGACCCCTGCCTCTATAAAAAGAAAAAAAAAAATCTTGTTTTAATTAGCTGGACATAATGGTGCACACCTGTAGTCCCAGCCACTGGGAAGACCGAGGTGGGACGATGGCTTGAATTCAGGAGGTCGAGGCTGCAGTGAGCCATGATTTCGCCACTGCACTCCAGCCTGAGCAACACAGACCCTGTCTCAAAAAACAAAACAAAACAAAACAGTAACAGAGAGCAGCCTTCTTGAAGCTATTTTATTTTAAAAATAACTACACCAAGAGAAAACTCTCATATCTCAGAATTCAATTTACGATGGTAAATAACCTGTTAAAACTCAAGTCCTGGCATGGTGTGATAGCTCAACCCTGTAATCCCAGCACTTTGAAAGGCCGAGGTGGGCAGATCACAAGATCAGGAGTTCAAGATCAGCCTGGCCAACATGGCGAAACCTCGTCTTTACTTAAAATACAAAAATTAGCTGGGCGTGTTGGCATGTGCCTATAATATCAGCTCCTCAGGGGGCTGAGGCAGGAAAATCACTTGAACCTGGGAGGTGGAGGCTGCAGTGAGCTGAGATTGCACCACTGCACTCTGCAACTCAAAAAAAAAAAAATTAGTCTTTCAAAATACTTTCATCCCACTTTTTTATTTCAAATTAGTTCAACATTACTGTAATATTGTGAGATACACATTTGGTCTTCATCTCTTTTCCTGGCATACAACTTCTAAGATCCTTAGAATGATTAGAATGTTAAGTTTCTTTTTGTATGCTAATGAGTTGACTGATAGCTTGGCAACTTCTAAGTAGTTTTTACATGGATGCTGGTCACCCGAAACACTAAGATTAGAGAGTTGGAACTTGTAGCCCCACTCCCCCAAACTCCAGGGAGAGGAAAGGTGCTGAACATTAAGGTGACACCAAAGGCCCATGATTTAATCAATGGTGCCTAAGTAATGAAGCCTCCATAAGACTGGGTTCAGAGAGCTTCCAGATAACTGAGGCAGTGTAGCCAGGGGAGGGCTTGGAAGCTCCCTGACCCTTACTTCTTCCTATGTACCTCCTCAT